TGGACTTTACGCAGCCATACCTGTAATATAAACCGTGGTCATTCTCAAGATACTGTTCACTGAACTTTAATACTTGGAGCCTGCTCCAACATTTATTTTGTGCTGCCAAGGTAATTATTTTTTGTGGAGGACTTGAAGTTTCTCTTGCCATCTTGGCTTAATAGGATAATATTTTAGATTGCAAGGTGTGTGACATAATTATGCCTTTCAAGACTGAATTATTTTTCAGCTTTGAATTTTTTTGTTAAAACCATGTATTTTCATTAATGGGAGGCATTTTGAATGAAATGACAAATTTTTTTGAGTATGGATTTTGATAGATTCAGTGGGACGCATGTGTCCTGCGGGCTCTCTGATGCTGGGATGAGTGGGATGAGGCCTTTATTTCTTCAGCTCATTCAGTTACACAGGCCGCTAGCAGATGGCTGTAGTAGGGGACCATTGAGTCAGCTTCAACTCAACAGTCGCCCTGCGTGCAACAGAATGGAACACTGCCCAGTCCTGCACCATCCTTACGGTTTTTGCTATTCTTGAGCCCGTCTTTGTAGCCATCGTTGTCAGTCCATCTCGTTGAGGGTCTATTTCACTGACCCTCTACTTTACCAAGCGTGACATCCTTCTCCAAGGACTGGTCTCTTCTGACAACATGACCAAAGTGTAGGAGATGAAGTCTGGCCATTCTCGTGTCTAAGGAGCATTCCAGCTATCCTTTTTCCAGGACAGATTTGTTCGTTCTTCGGGCAGTCCATGGTATTTTCAGTATTCTTTGCCAACACCACAATTCAAATGCAACAGTCTTCCTTATTCATTGTCCAGCTTTCACATGCATATGACGCAGCTGAAAATTCCATGGCTGGGTCCAGTGCACCTTAGTCTTCAAAGTGACGTCTTTGCTGTTTAAAACTTTAAGAGGTCTTTTGCAGCAGATTCGCCCAGTGCAATACATCATCTGATTTCTTGACCACTTTGACTGCTGTTCCATGGGTGTTGATAGTGGATCAATCAAGTAAAATGAAATCCTTGACAACTTTAGTCTTTTCTCCATTTGTGATGATGTTGCTTATTGGTCCAGTCGTGAGGATTTTTGTTTTTTGATACAAGGTGTAATCCATACTGAAGACTGGAGTCTTTGACCTTCATCAGTAAGTGCTTCAGGCCTTCACTTTCCAGCAAACAAAGTTGTGTCGTCTGCATATCGCAGAGATGTAGGGTGTTGGGAAGGGCGTGCCCCAATAGCAGCTGACTGACTGTTCCTCCAGTCCTGATGCGGTTGTTCTTCACATAGTCCAGTTTCTCCGATTGTTTGCTCAGCATACAGATTGAATAAGTATAGTGAAAGGATACAATCCTGGTACACTCCCTTCCTGATTTTAAACCATGCAGTATCCCTTTGTTCTGTTCAGACAACAGCTTCTTGGTGTATGCACAGGTTCCTCATGAGCACAATTAAGTGTTTTGGAATTGCCATCATTCTCAATGTTATCCATAATTTGTTATGATCCACACAATCAAATACTTCTGTGTAGTCAGTAAAGTACAAACATCTTTCTGGTATTCTTTGCTTTCAGCCAAGATCCATCTGATAGCTGCAATGATATCCCTCATTCCATGTCCTCTTCTGAATCCAGCTTGCATTTCTGGAAGTTGTCTATCAGTATACTGCGATAGCTGTTTTTGAATTGTCTTCAGCAAAATTTCACTTAACATACGATATTGTTTGATAATTTTTGCATTCTGTTGGGTCATCTTTCTTTGGAATGGGCACAAATAATACACCTCTTCAAGTCATTTGGCCAGATAGCTGACTTCCAAATTTCTTGGCATAAATGAATGAGTACCTCCAGCACTGCTTCCATTTATTGAAACAGGTCAGTGGGTATTCCATCAATTCTTGGAGCCTTGTTTTTTGCCAATTTCTTCAGTCCAGCTTGGACTTTTTCCTTCAGTACCATCAGTTCTTGATCATGTTCAATCTCCTAGCATGGTTGAACATCAACCAATTCTTTCATCAACCAAGGGAGTATTCCTTCCATCTTCTTTTGATGCTTCCTCTATTGAGTATTTTGCCCATAGAATCCTTTGCTACAACTAGAGGCTTGAATTTTCCTTCTGTCCTTTCAGCTTGAGAAATGGCAATTGTGTTCTTCTCTTTTGCTTTTCTAATTCTGGGACTTTGCACATTTCATTATAATACCTTATATTGTCTTCACGAGCTGCCCTTTGAACTCTTCTGTTCAGCTCTTTTATTTCATCATTCCTTCCATTCGCTGTAGCTAGTTACTCTTTGTTGAACAGCAAGTTTCAGATTCTCTGCTGACATCGTTTTGGTCTTATCTTTCTTTTTAATGATCCTCTGCTTTCATTGTGTACTGCGTGCTTGATGTCATCCCAGAACTTAACTGGTTTTTGGTCACTGGTATTCAGTGTGTCAAGTCTGTTCTTCAGATGGTATGTAGACTCATAAAATCAAGGTCATATTTTGGCTCTCATGGGCTTGTTCTAATTTTTTCAGCTTTAACTTAAAGTTGCATAAAAGTAGTTGATAGTCTGTTCCACAGTCAGCTCCTGGCCTTGTTCTGACAGATAATGAGCTTCTTCATTACTTCTTTCCACAGATGTAGTTGATCTGATTGCTGTGTATTCCATCTGGCAAGGTCCATGTGTACAGTTGCTATCTATATGGTTAAGAAAAGGAATTTGTGGTGAATAAGTCATTGGTCTTACAAAGTTCTGTCATGCAGTCTCTGGTGTCATTTCTTTCACCAAAGTGGTATTTTCCAGCTACTGATGTGTCTTTATTTCTAGCTTTCACATTCCAATTATCAATACATCTTGATTACACGTTTGATCAATTTCAGACTGTAAAAGTTCGTAAAATCTTCAGTTTATTCGTCTTTGGCTTTAGTGGTTGGTGCATAGATTTGAATAATAATAGTATTAACTGGTCTTTCTTACAGACATATTGATATTTCCTCTCACTGACAACGTTGTACGTAGGATAGATCTTGAAATGTTCCTTTTCGACAATGAATGCAGTTCCTGGCATAGTCGACCATGTGATTGTTCACAGTGGCTAGTACGTACCAGTCCATTTCAGCTCACCGATACCTAGCATGTTGATCTTTGTGCATTCCATTGCATTTTTGAAAACTTCCAATTTTCCTAGATTTATACTTTGTACATTCCATGTTCCGATGATTATATGAATGTTTGCAGCTGTTTCTTCTCATTTTGAGTCGTGTCTCATCAGCAAATCAAAGTCCTGAAAGCTTTACTCCGTCCACATCCTTAAGGTTGACTCTACTTTGAGAAAGCAGCTCTTCCCCAGTCATGGTTTGAGTGCCTTCCAACCTGAGGAGTCATCGTCTGGTGCTAAAGCAGTCAGACAGTGTTGCACTTCTGTTCCTCAAGTTTTCCGGTAATATATCAGGCAGGGTTTTAACTGCTGTTCATGAGATTTCCAGTGGCCAGTTTTTTAGAAGTGGACTACTGAATCCTTCTTCCTAGCTTGTCTTAGTCTGAAGCTTCAACCTGTCCACCATGGGTGACCCTGCTGGTACTTGAAATACTGGTGGCATAGCTTTCAGCGCCACAGCGAGATGCAGGCCACCACGGTAGGACATACTGACAGAGGAGCAGTGACCACGAGAAGGCAACGTGCACTAAAAGTGGGATAACTGCTTCTGACTAAACCCCAGAAGCAGAAAATGTAGGCAGTCACAGTATGTCCCACAGGTCACTAACGGGTTAAATACATGCAACTACCTTACTGGGTAGTTTCACGCATCCTGAGAGAGATGAGTAAGTGCTAAGAGCTGGTAAGACTGCATTGGTCAGCCTGGACCTGCTGACTGTGGGTCATATTATCAAAATGGCCTCTCCTACTTATTGATTTATGAGTCAACATTCTATAAATTTGAGGTTAGTAAATTTACCCTAAAGAGATGCTATTTAAATTTTTTATTACACTGAGGTTTCACGTGACATTTCATTTTTAAAAACTGTTGGCTGCTTAAAAGTTGGAAAAGCCACATGTCTGCCAAGAGAGCCTGCTATTTTACATACAACCTGCACCCTCGGAAGTGGTAGGTACTCAGGGAAGAAGGGAAAAAGCTCTGATGCTGCAGAAGCATCTGCTGCCCAGATCTGGAGGAGCCTGGTGTTGGTCGGCACTTGATGGACTTTAGTCCTGAAATCAGTGGGAGTATCTTGGAAATGGATTGCTGGATGGGCTTTCCTGAACCTCAGAAGGGTGTGAGGGAGCCAGTCTGTTCCATGTCCTGTGTGTCACCCAGAAGGTCCTTTTACACACTACTCATGGTTTGGCATAAGCTCTCTGCTGAGTGTTTACATGTATGTTCTCGTCTTCGTTCTCATGCAGCCCCATGAGGTAGGCGTCCGGGAGCTGCCTGTTTTCCAAGTGAGGAATACAGGGTGACTAGCACAGTGCCACCCTGAGGGTTTCAAACCAAAGCCTTTGTGCTGTGGAGCCCTTTGTGTCTTGAGACATTCCTTCACACCTGAGCGTCCCTGCTCTTAGCCGGTTGAAGACACTGGTGCCCATCAGGGAGGGTCCTGGGGACCCCTGTGAGCTCACACACTTACCCTCCAGCTTCCCTCCTGACAGAAAGAGTACTTCAAGCAGTATGAAGTGGGGCTCCAGAACCTGTGCCACTCCTACCAGAGCCGCGCCGACTCGCGGGCCAAGGCCTCCGAGGAGAGCCTGCGCAACTCCGAGAGGAAGCTCCGTGAGACGGAGGAGAAGCTGCAGAAGCTGAGGACCAACATCGTGGCGCTGCTGCAGAAGGTGCAGGAGGTGAGCCAGGTGCCCGGGGATGGGGCCTGGGCCCCTCCGCCCCCTTCTCCACACGCACAGTCCTCGCGGGTCCCGTCTTCCTGAGCAGGGGGCCTCAAGGGGTGCAGCTGCCCAGACCTCACCCTTGCCAGGTCCACAGAATCATGTTTAATGGACAAAAGTCTTCTCTAGTTGATACTGAGATGGGCTTGGGTAGCACTTGCAAGTGCTCCAGAAATGCAGGAGAGACGAAACTGGGGAAGGCCGCTCTGCTAGGGTGTTCAGAGGGGCCCCTCTAGATGACAGGCTGAGACTAGAAGCCAGCCGTACAGAGAATAGGAAGGGCTGGGCCAGAGGCCTGGGGGCAGCGATGGTGGGCAATAGGAGCTGAGGGGGAGCGCTGGGCCACACGGGCAGGGCCCGTCTGAGTTGGGATTTGATCCTGAGAGCAGTGAGAAGTGCTTGAGCATGCCGTGACCTGGTTTGAGTCTGAGACATGAGCTCTGGTGGTTTGAAGGTGGAACTGATGGAGCAGGGCCCCAGTACAGAGGCACTTGCAGTTAATGGTCTGGGGAAGAGATAGGAGGTGGACCCTGGATGGTGGCGTGAGGATGGAGAGAAGTGGGCAGGTTGTGATATCTGAGGGAAAGCAGGACTCGAGGATGATTCTTCTCACTTTGTCTTGAGCCTCTGGACGGAGGAAGAGCCGTTCCCTGTATTGAGATGGGAGCACCTTGGGTTGGGGCAGTGCAGTTGAACTCTGCTTTGGATTGAACCTGAGAAGCCTGCAGCACATCTAAGGCATTTGGGAGCCTGGGGTGGGGGGGAGGCAGGGCAGGAGCACAAAATGTCGGCGTCATCTGCACACAGTGGATGACTGGGGAGTCATCTGCACACAGTGGGCACCAAAGATGTCATCTGCACATGGTGCATGACCAGGGTGTCATCTGTAACACAGTGGGTGACCAGGGCGTCACCTGCACACAGTGGGCAGTGAGGGTATTATCTGCACACAGTGGGTGACCAGGGCATCATCTGTACACAGTGGGTGACGAGGGCATCATCTGTGCATAGTGGATGATGAGGGAGGCGGGGGAAGGGGACAGGACTCTGTGTGCAGGGAAAGGGGTGGAGAGATAGTCCCCCCAGCCCCCGCCTGACCCCTGCCCTACTCTGTTCCAGGACATAGATATCAACACTGATGATGAGCTGGACGCCTACATCGAGGACCTCATCACCAAGGGGGACTAGGGTGTCACGTCAGCCCTGTGAAGCAGCACCTCCCGGGCGAGCGTTGTGTTCATGGGTTGGTGTTCCGTGGTTTGACTCACGTGTGACATTTGTGCTTTTGGAGGGAAAGATACTCTGGTTCTTCAAATCTGCCTCCCTAAGTTTATAAATATTTATTTTTAAAAAGAAGCAAGATCCTGTGCCTGCTGTGAGCAGTACATTTTGTTGTGACTCTTGGGCAGAGGACAGAGAAGCTTTCCAGGACGCCAAGCCGGAGACACTACTTGCAGCTCCTGGTCCCTCGAGATAGTGGCAGTCCAGGGGCATCCCGAAGCCAGAGAGGCTCTGGGACCCGCTGGCTTCTGTCCTGGGGAACGAGCAGTATTGGGATCTGAGGGATGGACAGTGGTGAGACTCCCAGGAGGGGTGCTCGCCCTGGGGACCCAGAGCCAGGGAAGAGGTTCGGCATTACAGGGTGCACCCTCTGTCCCAGCTCCCTGCCCTTCTCAGGGATGTCAGAGTCCTGTCTGGGCTGTGGCATTGTCCAAACCAGCTTGGGGAGAAAGAGCCTCCCCTGGCCACCACCCGAGTGCTCTAAAGCAGTGATTTCCTGGCTTAACCCTCCATAGTGAGGCTCCTCGCTTCAGGCACTTAAGAGTCCGGGTTGAGCAGTAGACAGATCGGGCTCTGGTCTAATCACTGACGTGGGTAGCACACCCAATGTGTGAATTCCAAAGGATTCCTTTAGCAAGGGTGAACCTTGGTGAACGAGCCCTGGTGCTGAGGTGGTAGAAGCCTCCATCTGTGGACGGGCCGGGTCCTGGGCGAGTGGGCCGCTGCCTCAGGTGGTGCGGGCTCACCTGGAGAGCCTGCTGCTGCTCACTGTTCTACCGCTTCCCCTCTCCCAGGCCTGCCCAGCCACGTCCTGCTCTGGGACGGAGTGGGGAGCCAGCAGGGGTCCCGCCCACAGGCCTGGGAGTTGGGCTGCAAGAACTGCATGGGCAATTCTGCAGGAAGACACCATATCTTCCTTGGAGGGCCGTACCTGTTCATCAGAGCCTCGTACAACTGTCCCTCAGCAGGTTTTCTCAGGGTCAAAGACAAAGGCAAGAGTGGCAGGATTTTCTCTAGCATCCAGGGGAAGAATTCTGATGCAGCTTCCCTCTAACACTCTCCTCTCAACTCCCTTGGGCCCTCTGGACTTCCTGAAGGCAGAACTATGGCCTTGGGCCACTGGCCTGTGATTCAAACCTCTTTTGGTCTGTGCTGTCATCTGCCTCAGCTGGGCTGGTGGCGGCCCGCCATGCCCCTGTGAAGTCTGCAAGACCAGCAGCGTTGGGGAGGGAGGCAGGCCCCACTGGGATCGGAAGTCCTTCCCCACTTAGGCACGTGGCCGGGCATACCCAAGACTTGTGGGTTTGGGGCTTCCCCAGGCTGCATCCTGGAAGAGAGCTGTTTGGGAAAATAATACTCAAGAGACCCCCTGGCCTCTTCCTCTCTGAGGGTCCTGGGATTTTTTGAACCTGTGATTCCTCTCCCGCCCAGCACTTGTTGTTCACTCCAGGTAGCATGTGGTCCGTATTTATTCCAAACCTCCTGTTTTCATATAAAAGAAGTTGGTTCTGCATTTCTACCAGAGGGAAATACTCTCAAATTTTTTTATTTACACACCTGTAATGAAAATGCAATACTATAAACTTTTACCGGTGAGACTCCTGAACTTGGTTGGTTTTCTTCTCTGTCTTTATTAACTTCCGGTACCATCCTCCTCTTTGTTCTATCATAATGGCCTAAAACTCTGTCACGGTGGCTTCTGTCTTCAACTTCTTCTTCTTTCCCACCATCTTTATCGTTTTCTGACTTTACCCTCGGATTTCTTAACTGTCTTTGCTTCAGCCTCTGGATGCGGCTACTCTGCTGTTTCAGTCAAACCACTGCAGTGCTGAGGCCACCTGCTCTGCAGGCAGACGTCCCGCCGTCTCGGTGGAGGTGAAATGTGCGCATCCCTCCTGTGTCCCCGTCATGGGACAGTGCCCATTGCTAGGAAGGATGGCACTGTCTGATGACGAAAGCAGCGGTGGTTTGGCTGATCTGTGGCAGGAAGTCTTGGTATAAGGCTGCCAAGAAGGTGAATGAGTACAGCAACCTTATACTTAAGGAATGGGGACTTTGGGGTTTTGTGGGTTTTTTTAGTGACATAAGCACATACATGATAAAAACTCAGTACAATAAGTTGGACCGTGCAAGGTGAGTCACCATCCTCCCAGCCATGACCACAGTCTCCCCTCAGAGCGTTTACATCCTGAGCACAAGCTCACCTACCCTGCTTTCTCCCACTTAGTGTATCTGGGAGCCTGCTTCAGAACAGCCCGTGTGGATCCACTTTATTCTTTTGAGCCATATAGCAATTCATTATCTTTGATGTACTGTTGTTTGTATTAATTCCCCTGTAGATTAATGGGTGCTCTGGTGGCATAGTGCCTAAGGCATTTGACTGCTAACCTGAGGCTGGCAGTTCAAACCCACCAGCCACTCAGAAGGAAGACTGGGCAATCTACTTCCATAGAGATACCACCTTGGAAACCCAAGGAGAGGTCACTGTGAGTTGGGATCAACTTGATGGCAGTGAGTTTTTTTTTTCTTTTTCTTAGTGGATGAACAATTTTACTTGGATCCCAGTCAGCGCCCATGGAAGCAGCAGTCAGGAAGTCAAATGATGTGTCACGTTGGGCACATTGGCTGCAGAAGACCCCTTTAAGAAGTTAAAGAGCAAAGATGTCACTTTGAGGACTAAGGTGCACTTGACTCGAAGCCATGGTATTTTCAGTAGCCTCATATGCATGTGAAAGCTGGACAGTGAATAAGGAAGACAAAGAATTGATGCCTTTGAATCATAGGGTTGGTGAAGAATGTTGGATCTGTAATCATATAGGCTAAATTCCAGAAAGAAATGGTTGTGTCAGAGGGTGAAAATAAACTCACTGCCATTGAGTCAATTCCAACTCATAGCGACTCCCATTGCATTTCTAAGGCAGTAAATCTTTAGGGAAGTAGATTGCCCCATCTTCTTTCACAGAGCAGCTGGTGGGTTTGAGCCAGCGACTTTCTTGTTAGCAGTCAAATGCCTTAGGCACGGTACCACCAGAGGTCCTTGTCAGAGGGTGGGTGCACTAAAAATTCTAGGGTACATTCCCACACCACCTTCCAGAAAGGATTGCTCCAATTTCAGCTCCTACCTACTGCGTTTACTCTCATCACTCACCAAGAGGTGGTCCTTTCATCTTGATTATCTACTAATCTGGAAGGGAAAAAATGGTGGGTTTTTAAAATCAACTTGAATTAATCACGGGCGATTTTGTTTTGTTTTTAATTGTATTAGTTACAACCGTTTGACGCAGCAGGTGATCTGGGCGCTACATGTCTACTCGCAAGCTTAGCACAGTTACTCATTAAACTGCCTTTACAGTAGCGTAGGTGGTGTATACTTTTTGCTTCTCTAAACAGTACTGTTTTCCTTGGAAAACAAGCCGTATGGCTACTCAGTCCATTGAGTTGGTTCAGTGTAACACAATAATGTCTAGAGGCCAACTCTACCACGCAGAGTTGGTAACTACAAGGGATACTGAAAGGCTTAAAAAGACAATAGAGGATGAAACTCAAGTTGTATCAACAAAGGTCATTCTTTTAAACATCAAGATATATCTATCTGAACGCTTCAGGGACAAAAAAAATTGGTTTCTGTGAGATTGAAGCCTCATCGTCAGCCAGCTGTGTTTCTCTTCTTGTTGAGGAACGTAGTTCCAATCTCATTTGGATTAGGGACCCTTCTGTAAGAAAAACAAGGGGCCAAGTCCTCAGAAAAATGTTCAGTTTATACCACCCTAAGTGTTGCATGGATTTGGGATTAGTAAACCCCACTTTAAGAGGATAAGTGCCGTCTTGGGGCACACCATACTCTCCAAGGGGGGGATATATAACATTTTGTTTCTCAAAGGTAAGGAGTGGGTGGGGAACAGGCCGAGATAAACCTTGTTTCCCTCTTCACATTGATCTGAGGTTCATCTTGCTGGTTCAGGTCCCGACATCTACGGGACTCTCGGACCTGTGGATCAGGCATTGTTGGCTACTGCGTCCACAGCTCTAAGAACCACTAAATCTTAATCGTGAGTAATCCTGAACTTTGCCATTTTCTTGGACCACAAGGCCTGGGCTGAGAGGGCCGTGCCTCTGGCTGTGTGCGCCTGGTCAAGCGGGGTGGCTCTGCAGCTCGGCCAGATCCCTCAGTGGTCACCAGGGTGACTGACACATCCTCGGAATTCCACTGCTGGGTTCTGGCTTTTACTGCAGATGGAACCTCGGAGCCTGCCTTTGGGGCCGCCATACTGCTCTGTTTGGAGCCTGGCTCCAGGACGGGAGACCGTGCTCTGAGGGAACATGCCACCTCTGCCACCAGTTCTTAGCCCTGCTGGCGACACCCTCTCCAGGGCAAACAGGATACAGATGACAGGAGAAGGGCGCAACAGGCACGTCCCACTCAAAAAACCAGCCAAAATGTTGCCTGGCCTGCTTTTCAGTCCAGCCATTTTCACCAGATAAACTGTAATGTGCCAGGTCCAGCCAGGGCCCCTGATGGGTGGGTCCTGCCAGAATTTCCTCCTTTCTTCCAGCTTGCAGGCCTCTGACAGGTCTCTACCCCTCTGGCTCCCCTTTCCTGTGTAAAAGGGCTCACAGCCTTTAAAAATGAGGTTTCTAGCTTATTTAGCCACAGAGCCAGTTCTCTCTCTGAAATTTACCCAGAAGTCCATAGACAAGGTCGGTTAACACCAAAACCGCTCTGGTTGGCATTGGAATGGGACCCAGCGCCCCTTGCTGCCTGATCCCTAATCCTCCACCTGACATCTCAAGGGCCGTCCTAGGGTTTCCCATCAGATTTCCTGCTGCTCACTTAATGGAGAGCCCATTCCTAGCCTCAGGACCTCCTCTCTACAGAGAAGGTGGGTTTCTTGACCCCCAAGGGCGAGGGAGGCCTGGGCTCCCATGCACCTCTGTCTGGACAGCTTGCCTGTCACTGTCCCTGGTGGACACGTCACTGTTGGGCTTGACCCTACTGGGCTGAGGAGGACCCAGGACCCATCCCTCCTCTTCTTTCTCCTTGGACTCTGCTGAGATGCTTCCATGGGTTCTTTGGGCTTTTTCCTGCCTGAGCTTGGGAAGTGGGGGCAGCTCCCCTCTGCCATCTTGGGCATACTGCCCCTCCATCCCCACCTCACTTTTCTTTCACTCCTGGAAGCTTTGGGCTCCCATCTCCCTAGAGCCCCAGCTGTTTAAAACCAGCTGTCATTAGATGGGTTTGGGGCACTGGGGATGATGGGAGGAGAACCATATTTACCAGAAAACAGAAGGCTCAGTGCCTCATGCTAAACCGTCAGCTACCGGGTACAAAAGGGCCCAGGGCTGGAAGTTCTCACCTGGGCCCAGGACCCCAGGGCCGAACCCCAGGGCTCAGTCATCTCTCTCCAGGAGCTTTGGGGCATCCTGGGAAGCCCCTCCCTAACCCCTTCGAGCTTCTGAAGCCCTTTCAAG